TACGATATCACCGTTGAGCTTTGCGTTACCTACCCGCAAACTCAATATTTTTTCATATCTCTCTCCAGGGTGCTCTTAACTTATCTTCTAATGGATCATTCAGGATTCTCATATTATTAGTCGAGGTGTGACTGCAATACATGGCATACCGATTATGTCCTAACAAACGGATCCCGATCCCACGACAGCCAAATTATGGTTTCGCATTTCCAGCATTGTATAGTTACAAGCATGAACATATGAACAATTTTCTACTTTCACTGTTACAGTTGCCATACAATGACTGTACGCTTACACATACCGGATCATGCCTCCATGGGCGTGCTCACGTAGTCGAGACTAAAATATTTCTTTTGTTTATTTATTTATCTATCCCCGCCTCTTCTTTCATAAGACATTACGCGGCCTAGTTCGAATACGTCGCATCCAACCGGTGTTTTACATTCCAGACCTTAAGTCACCTAAGGCAACGGGGAATCTCTGGGCCATCTGCCTGACCCATCCGGTCCCATAATATTGACTCCATGTGACGGCAACTCCTCACTGACGTTGCGGCAACAAATGGTCCAGCCATCATGTACGACATCCGGGAAACTTCGCGTGACAAGATTCCTTAGGCCATGGACGCAGAGTGCGGTGAAGAGGTTGATAACTGAGCGCGCCGTCAAGTTGTAATGAATGAAATGTCCTGTCGGCACTATCCTGGAGTTGCCATTTTTCCAGTCCGAGCAGCCTTCCTCGACGGACCCAGATAATGCACTCCAGTCCACACACAAATAATAAATAAGGAAGAAGCCTGGAGATAGCGAACACCAAGCGTGTCCTTTGTTCGCTTACTTCCACCACAACTTTTACTTATCCTTTCGTTCTCCATTTGTCTCCTTCCCTGACATCTCAATCGAATGTACACTTCATCTAGCCTTCTAGTGCAGACCCCAGCAGTGAAAGTGAATCATCTTTGCATTCAGAGGTTTGATATATGGGCTTTTATTCTACTTTATAGCTTTCGATCAGCTGTTTGTCTAACTAATAGAGCGTGCAGTACTCTAGCATTTCTGGTTCGTCACGCTGCAATACTACTGTCTACTTCTGTTTCTCTGGCCTCCGTACTTTTTAGCTAATGTCAAGACACGTTGCATCCAATCAGACTAACGGTCGTTCCTAGTTCTGTACTCAGCATGTCAAGTACATGCAACCTCTCGAGATTAACATAGAAGTAGCAGCCGATTATCCCGCGAAACTATACCGGAGCCGCCTATAAGCTTTAAACCCATAGCACATCATTCACAAGCCCATGAAATGGCTGATGAAAAGTAAACAACCTGGCTTCTTAACCAAGACCCACCTCATCAGTAATTAGCAGCACGGTTGTAGGTAAGGTCAATACTGCGCAACGCACCCGAAGCGCTAGTTAAACCATAAAACGGTTGTCGTAGAAAACAGAAACTGTGTCGTAATTTTTGTCCTTGAGTTCCGTGGGTATCCGAATAATCCTTTCCAACGCACGGACATCCATCTTCTACTCGAGCATTGTCGACGATACGAGAGTGAAAATTAGAGCAGCACAGTTACAAACAGGAACCTCACAGTTACGCACCCACACACACACACAGCTACATAATTACATACCCCCTACATAAACATACACTGGTACGGCAAACATAACGTATTCTTGCACATTCTTGAGGTCGCATTGTTGTCATAATGATCATGCCTGTAAAGGCGTGCCTCGCCTTGTCGGGAATAAAAACTTTATTTTATTTATTTAAAATGCCTTTGGGGAGGGCTGTATCGGTGGTTGCCCAAAACTGCTTTGGCCAACAACATTGCATGGCTGACGTGTGCTTGACTCTCTTTATATCTAAGTAGCAGGCTGCACTTTGAGTGCATCTGTGCTCATTTCGCTAAACCGAAACCAGTCACAAGTGGAGTGATTCAAATAAGGCCTGATAGTATAATACTTTTACTAACATATGTTAACGAAGTATTCCAGACAATAATATATGGTGCCACATTTCTGTTTGCTGAAGACATCAAATTTGTCTAGGTAACAGAATGTGCAAATACCCAGACAGCCGTACATCTCATTAAGGATGACCCATCTACTCTGGAGTCCTAAAGCGAACTGTATTAAATGTCATTTGCCTTGGATACGTGTACTACCTTATCATACGGTTGTCAGGCCCCACCACACGGAACGTTACTGTTAGACACTTGTACCTCGCAATACATGGCAGCTCGCGACACGGGTGTGGGGTTTACAGTTACCTTTAACTTTTCTTAACTATGTGGCTTTTACGTTTCGAAGGCCTGAAGGCCATCGGTTGCAGCTTTCATTGTTGTTAACCCATGGAACTTCGCAACTACCTTTACAAAACTGGTATTTCTTGACAGCTCATAACGCAGACTTCGGCACCGTTGGTATGAAAAATTATGCCATATACGCTTATGGCATACTGTCGCAAATACGTTGCGGAGGCCTATAGTCGTCTGATCAAATGGCCGCATTGATTTCTCTCCATTACACGGTGACAAATTTATTGCATTTACGGCGCGCTTTTGAACGACCTAGGCTAACACAAGAGTGCTGAGCGGCACTATGGACGCACTCGCATTTAGCAGCTGACGCTTGGGCTTAGGCGGTTTGGCAGATCCTTACGTAATGCTCCTGTCTATATTGCACCTATATGGCTTGTGAATAACACTATACGTAGTTCTATAGTAAGCTAACGCAGGATACTGGGGCCAGCACCTTGCATATGCTGAAGTCCGCTTAAGGAATACAGACACTGACGAATTACCTAACGAATCTAAACAAATATGTAGACTAAAGAGCTAAAAGCTTACGTCTGAATTATTAACAATGGCACTACGTTGAACAAAATTACGCTAATATATTTTTTAAAGCTTTTCCAGATGGTAGCCTGTTCACCGCTCTTTGGTTACCGCGGATTGGGTTGTTTGTTGTTAACGCTTGGCATTTAGAACTACGGAGAAGGTAAGGTTTAGCACGGAATAAAGGTGCTCTTTAGCATTTCTGAGCCTGCATGCATAACGTGAACTTCAGTTGCCTAGACAGATGTGCACGGCCTCGAACACCGTTGTTTGTGTATCGCCTTTTAAGGCGAACTTCTGCATTAGGTCCACTGTGCACAGCAAACAAGTTTGATAGTGGGGTTGACTTACTCTTCATTATGCTGTGAAGGCGTTGGCTTTAAAGCGCACATAAACTTCGCATAACGGTGGTTTGAATTGCTGAGTATTGCGTCAATACATGCTTCAACCTGCGTTTTGTGCGAAATTGTAAGGATCCACCAAGCACATTTTAAGCAGCTTTTGTAAGTTATTGTAATCAGATAAATTTGTCTCACCAACTTACTTATTTGTATCGTGTAAGAATGTGTTGTAATGATCGAGGAGCTCCGCCGCACCGAGCACGGACTACAGCAGCCTTTACTAGGAACTATTAAGCAAAACATCGTCATCGGAATCTTTTCCTGCAGTTATTCCGTGTGCGTACGTAAACAGAGTGACTCATTGGAAATGTTTAATTGTTGCTCCTCCCAACAAGGACACGACCAAGGTTTTGTCTTGGCATAAACTCAACAGATGTAGATAGCATAAATAGAGGTGGAACCGAAAGCCTAGTTGTTCACGGCTGACGCCCTGAACACTGTGCCACTTAGGTACACAAGAATAACGCCTTCTGGAAATCGGCTGCTTCAAAATAAGACAGCGTTGTAGCTAGTTTTTTTCCATAGATGACTGCAACTTCGTACAACGGGTCAATAGGTTTAGGCCACGTATGGAGCCGTACGCCATCGTGGTACTCAAGTATGGTTGGTGAGGTTAATGCAACATGTGAGCCATCATCTGGGATCCACGTGCTGCTTCTTACCTTTCGGCCGCTATGGCCATGGTCGCTAACTATATCACGCAGTTCGCAGGTGTGCGATCCGCAAGCCGTCACACGGTGCATTAAAGCTGCTGAAAAAAGCACGCAAATGACATTGAGATTAAAGTGCATTAGGCAGGCAAGTCCAATTGCTACGGACGTGTAGCTTATTGTGAGGAGGCCTGAAATCTTACCCGGCGATGCGCAAGTTCAAGAAAACCTGTTTCCATAAGAATCCAAATAAGTTTTTGGATGCACGTTAACTGCATCCAATAAGGTGGCTGCTGTAAGCGTGGTTATGTTGTTAGTCGTTTAAGCCATCTGAAGCATGTGAGCACTATACCCATAAAGTTTAAAATAGCCACTGTTGTGCTACTCACAGCGTTGATCTTCGCTGTTGGGTTTCTCAATTTCTGACTTCCATTGAGGTCCAGTTCACCTAAAGCAACTATCACAACTCTGCAAACTGTCAGATACAAGGGCGTGCATCAGAGATAATTTATGAATTAACACCTTAATGACAGATTATGAGCAGTTGCGATACCAAACATGGAGGTAGCATGCTAATGCCCTCCATGCGCGACAAGCTAAATTAGAAGCACGTCATATCTAAGTTCTTTAACTATACAACAGCGTTATATAATTGGTACGCAGTTTAGTACGAATAAAAATTATAGAACACTATGCAATTTTTCTAACGTGACAAAAATTCGACCGGCAATGCAAATCTGCTCAGTAATGACCTTGCATGTCCTGTAAATTCAAATAGGCGGGGTCGTCCGTTTGGTTGCTTGGAATTGGGTGTGAGGTTGTAAAGAACGTGTCTTTATAGTCTGATTTTCCTAAAACTATGTTTTAATGCAACAAAATGTTCTTAACCAATGATACCTAATGATAATTATTAGTACCAACCCGAGTTGGCTTTACAGAAAAATGGGAGAGTACCGTGGATATATGCAAAAGATAAGCACCCCTATTAGGATGAAAAGATTATGGATCTCTATTTTACTATCATAGAACAGTAAAGTGATAGGTCGCTGTTGCCCTGTGAGCTGAGTTTATCCCCTTGGTTTCTAAAGTGACTATCGCTTCAGCCGTACCAGCACAGTCAAGTTCAAGTTCAAGTTCAATTGGGACCGGAACAGTAGGAAAATCCCGCGAATGTTCCACCTTCGAAAACGTCGTTGATCCAACAGGGAAACCGGTGCCTTGATGTGCCAAAGGAGAGCCAAATCAACACACACGATTCATATGGTCAACCAAACAATGCCCACGTGCCCTGCACTAGCAGTCCCCGCTGTGCCGGCCACGTGAAGAATAAAAGAAAACAGTAGTGTCAGTAAAGAAAAGAAAACAGAGGAGAAGACAAGCTAATCTAATATCGTAGGCAATATTAAAATGTAAGTTAAAATGAGTTAAAGAAGCGTAAGCCGTAATAGACGAAGAAAAGTTTAAGACACGAAGGGGAAGACTTTAAACTGCAGACCGAGAGCGTCAAGTCGATGCTCGAACTCTTTCAACGTCGGTGCCATCACGACGTCTGCAGGCAATGTGTTCCAATAAGCTATAACCCTACGCGATAATCTAAAAGTTGCCAAAACCCGGTCAGACCGGGGTTTGTGCAACTTTAATGGGTGGCCACGAAGGGTTGGCATTCGAGTTGGGCGAAACAGTCCAGTCAAATCAGGACCAATCTGACCCATCAATATACGATATGTAAGGACCAAGTCGCCCCGAAGCCGCCTGTAATACATGGAAAACATATCCAACTTACGTAGCCTCTCCGGGTACGTCAGCTTCTTTAAGTCGTACACCATTTTCGTCCCGGACCGCAGGACTCGTTCAACTGCCATCTTGTCACGAACCAGGCATGGAGGACAAGCCTGGACGCAGTATTCTAAGTGCGGCCTTACAAAAGCCGAAAATAGTCTAACAAACATGTCGGTGGTCATGATCCCGAATGACCTGCGGATCATCCACAACATGTTGAAGCCCTTACGAGCAGCTATCTTCCAGTGTTCACTGGACTTGAAGTCAGATGACAGCAAAACACCGAGGTCAGATTGGAGTTGAACTCGCGGTACCTCGTTGCCGCCAAGCAAATAACGCGTCGGCGGGTCATTCGGACCAACGCGTAGAACGGAACATTTCCCTAAATTAACTGGCAACTGCCACAAAATTGACCAGTCCCAAAGTCTATTCAGAGCCTCCTGTAGGGTCAGTGGACCAATCGGCTCGTCTATCGTGAACCAGAGTTTTAAGTCATCCGCAAACATTAGGGATGGCACACCCAATTCGTCAGGTAGGTCATTAACGTATAAAGTGAAGAGAAGGGGGCCAAGAACCGAACCTTGCGGCACGCCACTGAGAACACATTGGCGGAAGGACAAGCTTGAACCCACCCGCACACACATTTCCCTTCCGATTAGGAAAGCTGAAATCCATCGTAAGACTGGCCCAGAAATACCAAAGGAATTCAGCTTGTACAAAAGGCGCGAATGTGGAACGGTGTCAAAAGCTTTGGAAAAGTCAATAAACAGCACGTCCACTGCCTTCCCGCAATCAACGGCTTCGGCCCAGTGTTCACGAGCGGTTAACAAGTTAGTAAGGCAAGAATAGCCCTTACGAAAACCGTGCTGAGAAGGATTAAGCAAGTCAAACGCTTTCAAGTGTCCTTCGAGAGCGTCCCTCACGAGCTTTTCCAATAACTTGACCAGCACGCTCGTTAAACTGACCGGTCTATAGTTATCAGGGAGGTGCTTATCACCTTTCTTAAAAATGGGGCAAACAATAGCCTCCTTCCAGTCCTTGGGTAGAGAGCAGCCTCGTAGAGACTTCACAAAAAGATGCGTAATCGGAGAGCAAAGTTCATCAGCCAACTCGTACAACAGTTTGGGATGAATAGCATCTCCACCGGCAGCTTTATTGGGATTTAATTGCCTCAAAAGCCGGAGCACTTGAGCCTCGGTTATAGAAACCTCCTCCAAGTGGGAGCCCTCAGGAACCTTTGCCTGGAGACTGATATGCGGCGGCTGTGACTCTCTAACATAAACCCCAGCATACTGTTCTCCGAGCAAACAAGCTTTTTCGTGATCCGTGACAACAGCAGTGCCGTCCGGGCCAAACAACACTGGGATGCACGAATTCATGTTGCTTCGCCTTTTGACATAAGCGAAGAAGCGTTTCGGGTTTGATGAGGCTATACGAGCAAGCTCTACTTCATGCTGTAGACGAGCACCACGTAGATACTGCCTGCAGGCATTTCGAACCTCACGATATCGCTTGAAAGTGCATAATGAAGGAGCAGATAAGTAAGTACGCCAACATCTGGCACGTCTGTTAAGTTGTTTGCGTACAGCAGAATCAAACCAGGGTGGCTTTGCCCTAGTTTTATTCCTGCCAGATAGTGGTATATGCGGGAGAGAGAGCTCACTCAAGTATGATTTAAAGCTGTCCCAGGCCGTTTGAATGTCGTCACTTTCCAAAATGATACAAGGCGACTTTGCGGCTTTGGCTTTCATTGTCTGAAAGTCTGCGCGCCATATATTTGGTACTCGGTCGGGATGATCATTAGTCTGACGACTAAGGGCGCACTTAAATGAGAGACATGCGTGGTCGCTAGCACCGAAAGGTGAGTTGTATACAATATTGGTGACAAAATCAATGGATTTAGCGAAGATTAAGTCCAAGAGGGACGGGTTTTGACCCATCATGAATCTAGTAGGCCGATCGACAAATTGGTGCAGGGAAGCATGCAAGGCCAGCTCGAGAAGCTCGGTAGCCAAACACCTTGTAACAGCGCCGCAGGAAAAATTCTGCCAGTCAACGTCGGGAAGATTGAAGTCCCCCATCACTAAACACCTATTTGCCGAATGCTCGCGGATGAAATCAGCAAGCCCCTTAGCAACGCTGTCGGGGCTTCTATAGACCAGCACAATTTTAAGTTGCGCGGAGGCAATACACAGGTTAACTGCGAGTGCCTCAACATCACCCTCTGATGATCTGAAACTATACGTCTTACAGACAGTAAGTGCGGAGTTAACGTACAAAACAACACCACCTCCGCGCCGATCAGAGGTGCGGTCACATCTCAGCAGTGCGTAGCCTGGCAAGCACACTTCACTGTCCGTGACGTCGGTGGACAACCACGTTTCAGTGAATGCGAGGACATCTGGACGGCAGTCGTCGACAAGAGCGCCGACTTCGCACAGCTTGTTTCGCAGGCTACGCACATTGCTTAAGATCACCTGAAGGGATTTAACATTGTGAGTCCGGGATCGTGCGCCACCAGAACCGGCTCTGGTAGGGCGGAAGTGGACCGCCGGCTCACCACCCGAAAACCCACCAAGCGGAGACCCTTTTCTCCTGCTTCACGGCGGGCTTTAAGATCCTTGACAGCTTCCCGCAATTTCAGCCTATCCGCCAAAGGGAGGTCTGGGTGCACAATGACACCAGTGCCCTTGAGCTTAAAGGCGAAACGCAGAAGTGCTTGGCGCTCCTCCAGAGTGGACAGAACAACTCGCAACAAGCGAGGGCGAGACTTGTCGGCTGGCAAGTTACCGAGTCTGGTTAGTTTGCGCACAGTCACACCGGGGAAGCCGGGAGGCAGGAGTTTGGTAATGCATACTCTAAACCACTTAAGGTCATCTAGCATACGGTCTTTTGGGAGAACAGCAGAAGACTCAGTGGCGTTTCTGAAAATAACACTGCAGTCAGTATACGAGTCTCCGCGACGCGGAGTATTTACCGAACGCTCCATGGACGTCGGTGGTTTCAGTTTAGTGTCCGTTTCTATAGACTCTAATGTCGTAGATGTTTCCAGTTGCAAGGATTCCGTAGTAGTAGAATTTGAGGGGGGGAATGGGCGCCCGACGGACCTCTCATGTCCGCCTTTGGTTTTGCCGCTTTTTTAACCCTCTTTCGCCTTCTTTTGACAAGTGCAGAAACCTGCTGCTCTCCTTCGCTAACAGCCGAATCAAACACGCTGTCTGAGGGCTCGTTACTAACAAGGTCTTTGCTAACAGGTAAACTGACATTCGACAGTAAACAATCAGATGCAGGATCAGACAACTTGCCAGTGTCTTCTACTGTCTCCTGACAGAGAAGACCTGAGCGTTCTAGGCCCTGCACAATCCTTTCAACTTTCCTGTCTAACAAGACAATCAGAGACAACAAACTTTCCAAAGAAACAGGACTGCTCTTTACTGGCGTGTAACGCTCAGTCCTGGGCCTACAACAGTCATTACAACGGTAGAGTAAACTCTCGCTACTGGACAGAAGAGCGTACTGTCTACGATCCAAGCCAGTACAGGCCTTATGGAACCAACGGCTACAGATATCGCACTGCATGCCCCCGGACGAATCTGTAACCGCTTCTAGACAACCCACTTTACCACATATGACCACAGAGTCGTCAGAAGGCGGACACGGCGAGTTTAAGCAGCGCTTGACAACCATCGTGACGGAGAGGGTTCAGAGAAAGAATTGAATGTAATAGATAAAAAGCAAAGATGTGAACCGGATTACGGTGACAACTTATGCAAGCGACGAGAGCACCAATCGAAACGACCAAGTGTGACACGAGTGTATTGGAATGAACTCACCAAGTCACAAAGCTGAAGTGGACTCCAGGGATATAACAACAGGACCTTTGCGAGGGAGCAGAGGCTGACACACGGATAACTGAAGATACACTGATCAGTGCGACCAAGAATTGAATCAAGTAAATCCGCCTTTGACGAATGGAAAAGATCGCACAAGAGGCGAGGTAGCTGGATAGCGTACAGTGGTCAAAAGACGGGTAATGACACAGTGACTCGCTGACAACAACGGAACAAAGACCAAGTTTACTAGCAGACAAGTTCGCCGTTGGAGCTGGGCGAGATTGAAGGAACGAAGCTTTTTCAAGCCCGTTTGAACCACAGGAAACACAAGGTCAAGCTTTTTGGTCAGTGTTATTCAACACTGTTTCCACAAAACGCTACCGAGAAGGAAAACTCAAGCGGTGAGACACGACAACCACGCCGTGACAAAGGAAGGCACACAAGTAATTCCGAGTACGTTGGAATTTCAAGTACTTTCGGATCACAAGAAATCTGACAAAGCCAAATTTTCTATGTAGTGTTATTACCTGCTGTCCTCAAAAAAAGCTTTCAGTAAGGAAAACCTCGAACGGTGAAACACGACAAGCCCGCCGTGAGGTAAACCTGACTGACATGGTGTTCTCCTTTACTGGTTCCTCCATATAATTGGTGACCCCCGCATGTTTATTCAACATGTTGTGTATATTTTTCTTTTTTAACTGTAAAATGTCTGATCACGCGCCTGCCATTAATGCGGCGGAACATTCTCTTGGACTAGTTTTGCCTTCATTTGACGTTTCTAACCCACGTGTTTGGTTTGTTCAAGTGGAAGCTGTTTTCCGTTTGCGTAAGATTACATCCCAGTCCACGATGTTTTCATATGTGACTGCTCACTTACCGTGCAACATCGCCTCTGAGGTCATCGAAATTCTTGACCCTATGCCCCTACAGTCCCCAGATGATAAACTTAAGGCAGCCATAATAAAGCGCACTACAGCCTCAGACGAGATACGCCTTCAGCAGTTACAATCTGGTGTTGAACTTGGAGATAGAACCCCGCCTCAGTTACTACGGCACACGCGTTCCCTCGTCGGTTCTTCCGCACTGGATGATCCCGTTCTCCGCCAATTGTGGAGTAATTGTCTTCCAGCGAATATCACGGCTATTTTAGCTGTGCTTGCCGACGACCTTCCGCTCGACTCCTTAAAGGTGGTGTATAGACCAAGATTGGAGCCGCTGAGGACACTGATCGATGGTAGTTCAGGCACTACCTGCACCCAGAAAGCAGATAAAATTCGGATAGCTTTTCGAATACAAGTGGCTTTCGTCAGGGTTGTCCGATTTCCCCGTTTTTGTTCAATTTCGTCGTGGATTCTATCATGGAGTGTTCCCTTGCGGAATCTCACGATGTAGGCGTTGAAGTGCTGCCTGGTGAATGGTTAGTTGATCTAGATTATGCGGACGATATCGTCTTGCTTTTCGACGATGTTGGGGCGGCACAATCAATCCTGAATAGCCTATCCAGAGTGGTCCCATTATTTGGTATGCACTTCGCACCTTCAAGGTGCAAAGTGTTGCTGCAGGACCACCAGCCACTTGATGACCCCTTGACGCTTGCTAACGAGGAACTCGAGGTGATTGATCAATTCACTCATCTTGGCAGCTGCATCAGCAATGATGGGCGCATAGAAACTGACGTGAGCTCACGCACTGCAAAGGCCAGAGCTGCCTTCTAGAACAAGCGTCATCTTTGGCAACAGAAGGGAGTTTCCCTCCGTCTAAAAGGCCGGGTATACAAGGACACAGTGAGGGCCGTTCTGCTGTATGGTAGTGAAACTTGGCCCCTTCGGTCTGAAGATCTGAGGTGCCTTCAAGTCTTTGATCATCGTTGTTTGCGAAGCATTGCTGGTGTCGGATGGCACCAGCGTATCCGCAACGATGATGTGCGTAGCCGAGTACTAGGTGGTGATAATCATGCTAGCGCCCTAGAACAACAGATAGCACTGAATAAGTTACGTTGGCTCGGTCACCGCTTACCTAGGAGGGCCTTGTTCAGTCTACCAGGTGTAGGATGGCGCAAAGCTCGAGGAGGAGAGAAGTTGACTTGGCAGCGGGAAATGAAGTCACTGACAACCAAACTGGGTGCCGTTGGTCCGTCTCGCCTTCCGGGTTGGAGTAAACGTGATTCACCTTGGGCTTGGCTCGAGACTTTACAGGACATGACTCGCAACCGACACCAGTGGCGCGTCTGCAGCCGTCTCCTAATCGGAGTGTCTGTTTAAAGTGTGTTTGGTGCTGAGTTATCTGCGGGGTAATGGCTGATTATAACGCCTGGCAGTGAAAGCCGCAAGGAAGCTGTCTAGCCGATGCCGCCTTATCTTTGCACGATAGCCAGCTGTTTGTGACGGTATGTTGTCTACACAAGGTGTAGGCGCCTTGACCCTGAATGTTTGCTTAGGGCATTAAGGTTTTCAGGTAAGTCCCCCTTCTCTCCCTCTTCTAATTCTTTATTTCAAAGTTCATCATGGTTGTATGGCAGCGAAGCATCAGTCCAAATGGCTGATGTACTGCTGTTGATGATGATGATGAGTGACCGCGAAGAGACCTAATGTCCATGTTTGCTATTAGACTTATCACTTGCCTGCTGCTAGTAAGGTCTGCTGAACATGCGACCAGTGACCTTCAATGGTCTCCAGTACGCGCTTACTCAAATCGCATGTCAGCGTACTTCGATAGCTATTCAGAACAGCTGGTTTTGTCAGCTGGCTGGGGTCAATGCAATCACAGCATCGTCCTGGGCGTCCACCAAAACGCATCCGCATGTCAGCACATACAAGTGCATAGTCGGTGTCCACACATGTGCTCCAAAACGAACGACGGTTCTGGATGCAGCCTCTCCAGCGGTAAATGATTGCAATGTGATCGATTTGCGTCCAAGGATGGTGGGCGCCAAGTCACCCTCCGGCGAGTGCTGTGTCGGAAGTTAGTGCCCGCAAGAAATAGGCGGGTATCTTCACACAAATGAAATAAGCGCTCACCGTTATCATTACGGAAGCCTACACCGTGCTGACCGCCCAGATGCACTCCCACAGTGGACAACTTTCCAACTTGTGCGTTCAGATCCCCCGCCAGCACAACAGTGTCCGTGCTTCTTCTGTGGCGAAGGAACTCGGTAAGTTGGCGCTAGAAGTCATCTTTTACTGAATCATCGCTACAGTTTGTAGGCGCGTAGGCAGCGATGATGAATAGACACCTATTAGTCCCGCGCGACCGACGCTTTGAACAAGCCAGCCAATCGGACGGCACACATCCGGCTAATGATTGGAATCCAATCGACCAGAGCAGCTTCAGCCCGGGGACTCAGGGCAATGCCAACACCAGCTTCGCCGGTGCTCGAAGCTGCATCGTCACCCGATAGGCGCAATGAGAAAATACTGTTTGCGTCACCTGAAGGGATCGCAGAGTGAGCACAGAGCTCGAGTCTTGCAGGCGGGTCTCCGATAAGCAGCAGATGTCGATGAAGTGGGTCTCTAATGTTCGGGCAAGTGCTGCCTGTTGACCGATCTGTAGCAATATGCGTACACTGAGGCATGCCAATCTGTAGGAGAGTCGAAGGCTCCAAATGGAAGCGGATGAACTGTAATGGACCGCTTGGTTAGACATGGGCTTGTCGACAAGAGAGAAATGACGCTCCGCGTTCACATGCGAGTTGAAATTAGAAAAATGAAAAGTGGAAATAAAATGAAAAATGTAAGAATGGAAAATCATTCATTGGTGAACTGCATCTGAGCAGCCAACATGGTGCAGGCTCCCGTAATCATAACGGTGAGCGGTTACTTCGTTTGTGTGAAGATACCCGCCTATTTCTTGTAAACACTAAGTTCCGACACAGCACCTGTCGGAGTTTGATTTAGCACTCACCAGCCTCGAACCATCTTCGGACGCAAATCGATCACACTGCAATCACTTACCGATGTAGAGGCTGCATCCAGAACTGTCGCTCGATTTGGAACACATGTGTGGACACCAACCATGCACTTGTATGTGCTGACATGCGGATGCGTTTTGGCGGACGCGCACGACGACGCTGTGAGCGCATTGATACCAGTCAACTGGCGAAGCAAACAGTTCTGTACGCGTATCGAAGTACGCTGACATACGGGCTGAGCAAGCGCTCACTGGACGCATGTTCACCAGACCTTACTAGCAGTAGGCAAGTGGTAAGTCTAATAGCAAACATGGACATTAGGTCTCTTCGCGGTCACTGGAACTTATCAATGCTCGCAGGCATCTTCCGGCTGGAAGCGAACACAATGAAACTCGCAAAGTGCTCCGGGCAAAACTCCGTGCTAGGCTGAAGAGAGACCGCAAATCTTGGTGGTCTCTTCGTGCGTCACAGATGGAAGTGGCCGCTGCCCTTGGTAACCATCGCAAGTTATTCCGTCTGATACGGAAAACGGGCAGCAGGAGACGTGGTGTTAGTGAAACAATTTGTGATGAGAGTGGACAGCCTATCCACAATTTGTCAAAACGTTTGAAGCGATTGGCTAAGCATTTTGAAAAGTAATTTAATCGACCGGGATTGTTAGATTCCTCACCGGCCAGTGATCGCCCTGCTCCCTTGGCTTTCACTTTGGATCCACTTTCTCGTTTAGAGGTCGAACTTGAGATGGGACTATTGAAGTTGAAAAAAGCCGCGGGACCAGATGTGCTTATGTATCCCCCTTCACATTCGGGCGTTCTGCCCTTGTTGATGATTTTCATGAATTACTAGTGAAACCGTGGGAGCAAGAATTTGTGTCAGTCGACTGGAACCGTTCCATTATTGTACCGATTTTCAAAGGAGGCTCGCGTTCGGAATGCGGCGACCATAGAGGAATCAGTTTGATCCCCATCGCCTCCAAATTACTTGCCTCTGTAATCGTTCACAGACTGACTGACGCTCGTGAAAGCCAGATTCGTGAGGACCAAGCCGGGTTTCGTCGTGGTCGTGGCTGCATCGACCACATCTTCACTTTGCGTCAGTTGTTGGAGCATCGCCACACATATGGGCGGCCCACCGTAGTCGTGTTCCTCTACATCAAAGGTATCTCCGATTCGGTTGATCGATGTGCCCTTTGGCACTGTCTAACTCGAAACGTTCTCCCACATAAGAATTCTGACACCCAAGACAGAAGTCTAGGATGTACTCCGAACCATGCTAATTTTTCAAGTAAGAAACGGTGATTTACTGAGTCGAAAGCCTTGCTAAAGTCAAGATAGCAGACCTCTACCGGAATCCCGTCGTCAAGACATCGAGTAATCTCATGGAGGAAGCACAGTAGATTAGTGAGGCACGACTTCTTTTTAATGAAACCATGCTGCTCTGATCTAAGTAGACTGTGTTCCGCCAAATGCTCACAAATCCGGTTTCTTATAAGCTTCTCTAAACACTTGAGCAGAACACAGGTTAGACTGATGGGTCTGTAGTTAAGGGGCTCCGATTTGGAGCCACCCTTGTGAATCGCAACTATGGCTTCTTCCTTCCAGTCTCGTGGCAACTTTCATTCCTGGAGCGACAAGTTGAACAGCTCCAGAACAAGATGTTGAAGGATGTCAGCTAGTGGCTTGACTATTG